CTTTTTACTAATAGACCTCATAAAGTACGAATTTAAATTAATTGAGTCAGTAAATTTCAAATATCACATAATTACATTTTTTTAAAAATGGTACGCCATATTACTAACTATTGAAGGTAGTCTTACCATGAAAAACTTATCTATATTTGTCATTTTGAATACGCAAATATGGTGCTTAAACTTGTTTCATGTTGTAATAAAAAAACATCAAGGCGCCAAAAAAAGTTTTGGTGGAGTACTGACTACTCCTTCATCCTTCAATGTGAGACTTAGCTCCTCAATGTGGGACGTCCCGATGCAAATTCAAGTTTAGTCGGGATCCAATGTGAGTATCGGATATTGAAAAAAAGAAGAAGATGGAAACATTGAAAGCACCCCTAAACTCGGTGCACACTATTAATTTCATCTCGGAATTATTGATAGCCTTGAAAGACACTCTTTTACTTGACTAACTGAACTTATATACACCTTCGATCTTAAAACATAATTTGAAATACACCCCTAAATTATTGTCGCCAATTCAGGATGTTTTCAACACTTCTCTCGGGTTTTTATTAAGAGCATCATGCTCCTACTAAAATTTGAGTTAACTTGTTATGTCATGTGACAAACTGAGTGTATATCTAAGTTTAGTTAGTCTAACATAATACTCCCTCCGTTTCACAAAGAATGACCTGGTTTGACTTGGCACGGAATTTAAGTAAATAAAGAAGACTTTTGAATCTTGTCGTCCTAAATTAAAGTTATGTCAAATGTACAAAATTGCCCTTAATCTTGTGGTCTTAAATATGTCATGTGGAAAGTAAAAAGTAAAAAGTTACAAAAAAAAGAAAGAGGTCATTCTTTTTGAAACTGACTAAAAAGAAAAGGAGGTCATTCTTTGTGAAACGGAGGGAGTAGTATTTTTAAAATTGTCAATAGTTCAGACTAAGGCTGGCAAACGGATCGGTTTTTGTCCGGTCCGGTCCGGTTCCCGTACCGGTAAGACCGGTACCGGTTGAACCGGTAAGGAACCGGTCTTATAGGTACCGGAACCGGTATCGAAACGGAACCCGGATTTTTATCCGGTTGATCCGGTTCGGTAAGAACCGGTTCCGATCCGGTAAAACCAGTTCCGGTCCGGTTCAACGGTCAAATTTTATTTTATTTTTTTAATTTTTTATTTTTTTAAAATGTAAACGTTAAGAGCCGTTGGGCCCTTTTTAGCCGTTGGGCTGGGGCCCAAAACGGCTCCAAATAGCCCCCCACCCCTCTCTACCCCTTAACACTATAAATATACTCATATTTTTTCATTTAAATCACAAATTCACAAACTATCTTATAAAATCTCTTAATTTTCAATCTCTCATAAATTCATAATTATTATTTTGTGATATTGACTTGGAGTTCGAATTTCGGAGATTTATTTGAAGTAAATCGGAAGCTTCAATTGGCATCTCTCAATTCCGGCTTTGGTTATACGTCTACTTTTACGTAGACGTTCGGTACATTCGTTCCAACTTTAATTTTCTATTTGTTTATTAATTAAGTTATTTTATTTTTTTGTTATATTATCTTTGCTTGTTTTTCATAATATTAATTATTTTAAACTTGAACATGAATTTTGAAAAATATAGTGGTAAAAGACCAATGTCGGAAAGAAAAAATAATAGGGGAGGAGGAAGTAGTTCTAATTCTAAAAATTTGCCACCTCCTAGATTTAGAATTAATACTAATGATTATACTCATGTTGATGAAACTTCTTTTACACGAGACTCACGACCTATTGAATTTAATTCCGAAAATGAAGTAGATCATGAAACTTTAAATAGATGTTTTACTAATTTTGAGGAAGAATTAGATGAGGAAGTAGAAATAAATGAGGAAGATGATGAGACCCCTACCCCTACTAGTCCGGCTACCGAATTACCGGAACAAGATGAAGTCCCCTATTTACCTACTTTTTCAAAGACCGATGTACATGCTAAAAGATCTTTAGTATGGAAGAAGAACGACAAATACAAGTTTCAAAAAATGTTTCTTTTGAAATGATACAAAAGTTACGAAAAGATTTTAAAAAAAGTTTCAATTGTTAGTACAATAATTAATATTTAATACCTAGATTATGTACTATGTCTCTTTCTAATATTTGTATTGTACAATTTATTTATTTGAATAAATATAAGACTTTGATTTTCTTTTAAAATAGTCTCTTATATTTAATCCAA